TAAAGGCGCCATTTTGCCCTTACCTTGAAAACCCCCTGACCAACTAGACCGCTTTTGTTATTTTTTCGGTGTAGCAGTTCTGTTCGACAAAAGTTCGACGTTTGACTCAAACAGGCGTTCTTAATTATTTGAGTCGACTGTCATTAGGTTCGGCTCATGTGAAGTACGGCGTTACTCAGATTGGACACAAGTTCGCGACCAAGTGAAGACCAAATACAAGGACCATACAAGTTCAGATTACACACAGACAGAAAATTTATTTTATAGCAATAATACACACATACATTCAAAAAATACTCTTTTAGTGAAGAGAACGTGTTAGAAAATTAAAGTACGTTTTTTAATTTCTCGTGATTATCGCTAAAGGGTACAATGAAAATAGACACTATTGAAGTTGTGCAGTGTGACAAACATCATGTGTGGAACACCGTACAAGTGGACGAAGGCATTTTCGGACGGCCTTTTCGATAAAATACAGTAACAGTATGTAGTTTGCTAGCTAATATATCAGGAAGCTAAGACTCTCCAACTGCTTTATCTCTGAGCAGGAAAGACTGTATGAAATACCAAGTAAAAGACGGAGCAAAAGATTGTTACCCTTTAATCACCTACAATTTGTTTCCTGCTATAGCTCGGTGAAACTTGTTTGTTCAACTCAAGCGCGTTAAATTATTCTTGACGCACGAAACATATTGAACTAGGGAGTTAAATTTTCCTATCCAACTTACAAAGTTTTACATATTTCAAAATTTAACGTAGAACCACAAAGAGCGAGCTGCAGTTAAGAAATAGAAAACATGTACCGTGTTTCTATCGAGTTAATAGAAACACGAGTGGAAGTTTGGGTGAACGAGAAATACTGGTTCGAGTTCTCCCAAACTTCCTCGAGTGTATAACGATGACGCATATATTAACGGGACGAACAAAGCGAATTTACGTTTGTGATAATATATTTCTTAAGAAAAGCGCTGTTAAATAAAAGCTTTTAAAGCAAAACGACAAAGCAACAACTAATGTTCTGAGTGACTTGCGCACAAACCGAACTAAACAGTTTTGAAAAAAAAATCTTAAACAATTTCAAACCTCTTTTCTTTCCTTTGCAAGAAACGAATCTTCGATTGTTTCACTGTCCTGCAGTGAAAAAAACACATTTTTTCCTCATTTCATTTTTAATAGAGTAGAATTTACGCTGAATTGAAACAATTCCTTCCAACAATAAATTATTTTCTCGACAACAGTTTGACAANCAGTTTTGAAAAAAAAAATCTTAAACAATTTCAAACCTCTTTTCTTTCCTTTGCAAGAAACGAATCTTCGATTGTTTCACTGTCCTGCAGTGAAAAAACCACATTTGTTCCTCATTTCATTTTTAATAGAGTAGAATTTACGCTGAATTGAAGCAATTCCTTCCAACAATAAATTATTTTCTCGACAACAGTTTGACAAGAATAGTTCTCTCTTATCTGCTGTCATTTTCAAATAAAATCTTTGAGGAAAAACCTAAAACAACACTTAATGAATTGCAAGGGATTTTGAATACAAACGTCACGTTGTATATGATACCACGTATAAAACGTCTAAAACATTTTCAATATATTTGCAAATTTTATAATTTTCGCTTGCCACCTTGCACAAGCGAGATGAATAATTTAATTTTTACAACAATGAAAGTTGCTTAAAGCTTTATCAAAATTGCATTTGCCTTAAATTACTAAGGTAAAATATACATTTTCAGCGTAAGTAGTGCCGCTATTTAATCGTGAATGTTCGGAAATTTTCTGACAACGGTCGCATAAATTGTACTGAGGTGAATGCCGAGAGCGATGGGTATGGCATTTCCACGTTACACTTTTAGCAACGGAGATGAGACATCTATCACTGCAACTACTGTTCCAATGGACCGGTGACAGCCGACCTCTTCTCTTAGGGTCAGATGAGTGTTTATCCCTGACAATTACCACAAAGGGGCGATACGGACCAAAGGGGGCTGGGGCGAGACGACCAGCAGCCTAAAGTTCCAACTGAAGGGAGGCCGACCAAGTTTAAATTACAGGGATAAAAACTGCACATATTAGCTTAAGATATAGAGTTAATATATTTCTTTTGCTTTTTTTCAGCTTGGCATAATCAGCGGAAACCTCAATCCTGCATTAATCAACCACGTTAAAGGAACTGATCATGTTATCGGTGCACCATCACTGATTGGGACACTTCACATCACACTACATACGGAACTTTTGGCGGTGCTTTTCTGCCGTGCGGAGTTCTGTCGCTGAAAACCAGAAAGAAGGAGTGTTATGAGAAACAATAACAATCAGGAGGGCAGAAGGGTACGTACGAGCGAGGAAAGCGTTCTTAGATGTGTTGGTGGGTAGAA